AAAAGAAAAAAAAAAAAAGAAAAGGAAAGGAAATGAAAGAAAAAGGAGTACAAGAATGCAGAGATTCTTAAAGCAGTCCCGTGACCCATAAAAATCTCAGAGATCTCGAGGAGGTCCTAACAAGCAGAAAGCTACGGCGATAAAGAGGGTTGTCTCCCTTTTCTGTTTCTCGGTCTCGTTGTACGGGGGTGAATTTTTCAGGCGGACATTGCCTCGTAAGAGAAAAGAATACGAGGGGATGTTTAGAAGGGAAATTAGGGTCAAATCGACGAGACGACGAGGCGTAAGTGAGACGATCCTGAATTTATTGCAACTCGTATTTGTTCCGGTTGATCGCGGATTTTTAATTTTATTAGAAATTTTGTTACCGATCAGCTTTGTGATTTTTACAATTTTTTTTTTTTTTTTTTACCAACTTTGCGTTCATTTTCAAAATTTTCTTCGTTTCTATAATATTCAATTTTATTATTTTGTAAACTTTCGGATTTGGAACTTTGAAATTTACATTCAATTTTGAAATTTTCCAAACTTTTGCAATTAACTCGGGAGCCTCGTATTTAGAATTTTAAATCTGTTGCCATCCAATTTTGTGAATTTGCAATTTGTTAACTCTGCAATTTCAATATTCGTTTATATTTAATTTTGCGTTACATTTAAATAATTAAAATTTTATATACATATATATATTAGTTTACCTTTATTTCGACAATGATTTCACGATCGTTCAATTTTCATTATTTATATTTTATTTTTTATCTCATATAAAATTCGATGCCTGCTCTTCGTGTAATATCAATCAAGACGATACAAAAAGTTTCGATACGAATTCCTTTTATCGTAAGGTAAAATAGGTATAAGGTGTAAGGTTTTTATCAGGGCTCCAGGGACCAGGTGAAAATTTCCTGCAGATTTGCTTTATACGAATTGGCCACGAGTTTCCACGAATTCGACGTGCATACGCTTACGTAATTCGATTACACGGAGAGCAAGAGAGGACCCAGTTCGGTTTGACTCGGTTTTACTCCACGAATCTCTCAAGTCCATTACAACTGTAGGAATATAGTCACGGACACAATTAACTATTTCGTCTGATTGATCTGGAACGGTGATTTGTAAACGGGAGGTACGTGCGAACCCCTCGAGTGTTCGATCATGTTTCAGGAATTCAAATTACCCTCGTTTGCGACATTGCAAGGAAAAGAAGCGGGAGAAGAGAAGAGTATAAAATTCTTATCTGTCCGTTTCACCCTTGGGAAAAGCAGTGAATTAAAATTTAAACAAATGTACATCGATTGTACAAATTACATTACAACAATTAATTGTCCTTTAATCGAAGGATTGAACGAATGATAAATAATTACTGTTACTCTAAATTACAAGATGAATATAAATTTTTACTTAAAATTTTAAAATTTGATTATGGGAATCCTATAGAATTTTTATTTAATAAATTAATTAATAGATTTTATAAATGGAAGAACAAATTAGGGATCTCCATAATTGAATCGAGATAAAAATTAAATGCAGGAGTTAAGATCATCCTAACGCCAAACATAACTTAAGTTAGAAACCTTTAAAACCTGTTTACACCACTTGAACAATTCCCTCTCCCTCCCTTGAAAAAAAATTGAAATAAAAGAAAAATAAAAATTCGTCTATCGCGTGGAAGAAAATTTGGGCGTAGAGGGAGAGGAGGAGACGCTTCGAACGAGATCCGCCGCTAAAGGGACACATTTATGTCTTCCCAGGA